ATATTTTCGATACATCACTTACTGTACAAACAAATGAATTTAATTTAATTCTTCAAATATTTTGTTGTCGATCACCATATTCTATCCATTATTAGACCCAGTATAGGTATTCCTGTTGCAAGAATCTAATTAGATAAAAGAATCCATGTTCCATTACAGCGACAAAGGAAAGGTCAGATTCCTTTCAGTGACTACAACGAGCTTGGAAGTTATAAATTTCGCTTTTATAATTCTAGAATAGAGCGAAGGCTAGCGAAATTAAAACGATCCATATCCTGAGATTCAAGGTTGGTCGTATTTTTCACCTTATTGCATTCGTTTAAATAACACTTCTACTTTTATAAGATTGTAAGCGAGTCAGAAAAATCTCTGCTCGAAAAATATCTATTGCTCCTCCGGAATCACCCTGTAGTCTGCATAATTTATTACTGACGTCAATATTATTCATTCAACGCCTCTCGACTGCAGTAACTAAAGATAAAGATCTAGCAAAAGCTCGAGAATAGGTAACACAGGAATTCGTAATGAGTTATTTGCCCTCACTCGCTTGCCTTTTTGAAAAAACGAACGCCATACTTGTACACGTACAGTTATAAGAGCATATACGTTTCGCAGTCCTCTTTCTATTGTAAAATGGCGGCAAACTGATACTCCAGTCGAATTAGATCATAAAACCTGAACACTTAAAAAAATTAGTAGTAGACACTTTATTACTTACTATTATGATTTTTTGATAATCTAACATATTTTCATAAGACACGAAAAAAAATATTCGTTTTTTTTTGGCCACCCTAATACATAGGCATTGTCGAAACCAAGAGAGTTGCACGAACAAAATTTGTACAGGACATAGCTAATACAATGCGAAACACCGCCTTAATATTAAAAATATTGTCACCTCCGTTCTTAGTGGTGAAAATTCGAAATATTTGAAATTATTCAATTTTCGTGCCTGAAAATATACATGGGCATTGTCGAAACCAGGAGAGTTGCACGAACAAAATTTGGACAGGACATATAGCTAATACAATGCGAAACATCGCCTTAATGTTAAAAATGCTGTCACTGCCGTTCTTGGTGGTAAGAATTCGAAATATAATAAAACTTAAAAATAATACAGAAAATATTTATTTGATAACCATAAAATCCTGTGACAACAAAAACAAATTGGGAATTGCAATTGACATTAGTGTAACATTACAGAAAAGTTACATTAAATTTAGAAAACTAAGTGAAAATATTCAATATAATAGGAGCTATTACAAAGTTAGAATTATATTTCTATAACATTTGCGTAAAATTCCAAAAATTGTCAGTGCAAAGTTGTAAGAAAATTACGTTAAATTCACAAAGAATTGTAAAATCAACTATAAATTTACAATTTAAAAGATAATAAATTTATATAAACAAATATATGTCTATAACGTATTTGCAAAATTAGTTGATATAACTAAAAAAAAACTATTTAAAAAACCCTGGACCCTGTAGGAACAGTAAANTTTAATTGGGAAAAGTATGAAGATCCTAGGTATTATTCAAGTGTCTGAAAAAAATTGACAAATAAACTAGCATTTTTTGCAATTTTTTAAATGATTTTTCCGATTTTTTGCAATAGTAGTTATTATTTTTTCGAATTGCAACTAACACTATCTTGTTCAAAATTTAATTACAAAACTTTTTTCCTCTTCCATTTTTGTCTAAAATGAATAGTTGCTGAGTTTGTCGACGAGAAATCCAAGAGAAAAATTATTTTTTTGCTATTTTTTTAAACTTTTTTACAATAACAATTAAGCCCACGTTTTTTTTATTTGCATAGAAAAATTATCATTTCTGACGTTATTTAGAAGCCGTTAAAGCAAAAATCTCCGATCATATGCTTTTTACCCAAGTACACCCTTTTAAAACAGATAGCGCCTGGACTATCATTGCCCAAAAATTTTGCAAAAATAGCAAAATATCGCCAAATAAATCCATCATGTTGATATTCCATTTTCCTTGGTATCGATTCTTCTTTTCACTTATATCTTGATGGAATCTTTCTCCTCGTTTCTCACTGTAGTCTCTAAAGTTTTGAGGAAAGTAGTCAAGGTGAGCGTATAGGAAATGCATTTTAAGATTCATCAAGCAACCTAACTGTTTGAAATTTTTCAACATCTCTTCAACCAAATTTTCGTAATCCCCACTCTTCTCGTCCCCTAAAAAGTTCCGAGAGATATTCTTGAAACTTTTGCTGCTTTTTCAGTGTCATTCATCCTTATAGTGAAATTTTCGTTTAAAAAAAAAATACGAATTTGAGGACTATATCTACCGATTTTCAACAAATATACCTTTTTTATGTAGAATTGTCCACGGGATGTGAAAATGAATCCAAATGATTATTAGGTCATTGGCGTAGAAGTTGGGGTAAAAAAATCCGGCTTTATTACCAATTCCTACGCCTCTGACCTATAAAAATTTGTAAATTTTAGAGTAAATTATGCACACGTGTAAACGTTAACACCACACCAAATTTGAATCAATTTATTATAAGCATACCAAAGATTTCGTGAATAATATGATTTTAACAACAGACCAAAACGGCCCTGTATAGCGAAAACGGTGAGATTTAGACCCTTGCTTTATAAGGCAATTTATTGAGTTCTATTTGTGGTTAAAGTTTGATTCACTCGAACTGAAACACCCTGTATGTCTTGCTATCAGGAATTTTAATGTTACGTAACACGTAACCTTTGTCCTCTATGTCGTCAATTTTAACAGTATTTCGAAGCAGTTCTCGAAAAAGTGTTGTTTGGAAAGTGAATTTTTAAAGTTTTGAAAACTTCTTGATTACAACTTCGCAACTAACAACCAAGTCTAGAATTCAATAAATTTTGTATTTCAATCAGTCCATTAAAATTACCTTTAAAAATTTTATAAACTCTTTATAAATCACCCTGTATTTATCTACACAAAAAAATGGTTTCAAGGGAAACAACCAAAAGGAAGAAATGGGCGAAGATAAATGCGTTACTAATTTCCATGACAATTAAAATGTTATACGAATATTAACGAAGATACAACATTTATTTAAATTAACTAAATGTCACGGACTTTCGGTCTTTAACACCCAGGTAAATTAATATTATCTGCCTCAAATTAGTTCGGAATAATTTAATATTAACATAAAATATACATTATTTGTTAAGAAGGAAATGGTGTTTATACAAAAAAAAATCGATTTTTTTCGATCCGTTCCATGGATTTTGTTTTGGTTAAAAAAATATTTTCCCCGTATTTTGAAACAATTATTGTTTATTTTTGTTATTGTTATTCTTTTTCTGACTCAGACTACCTAAGTTTTGTAAAAAAAATGTTTTTGTTCGTGTCTTCCAAACGGCCAAATCCATTCAGATTTGGTAGATAATCTAGAATTATTGTAAAAAAACCTATTCTACAGTTTGACAGAAATTGGAAACAATTTATAAATTACAAACGTTGTTATTTAAAATAACAACATTTAACCTCCAATAAAAGAATAGGAATATTTTCGATACATCACTTACTGTACAGACAAATGAATTTAATTTAATTCTTCAAATATTTTGTTGTCGATCACCATATTCTATCCATTATTAGACCCAGTATAGGTATTCCTGTTGCAAGAATCTAATTAGATAAAAGAATCCAGGTTCCATTACANACTTGATGTATATCTCTTATACACTCTCTATTTATACACTTAAAAATATAGGTATATAATATAGGTAAAAGTATAGCAAATATCTACACATCTCTCCGTCTGCTCGCGACTTGATCGCCGAGTGGCCGGTATCGTGACGTCATTAGCTGTTCTCTCGCAGTGTTGACCTTTTTAAGGGTCTTACAAATTCAGAATTAAATATATCACTTATTATTAATCCTATTGACCTAATTTTTTTAAGATGTAATTAGGTGGTTAAATACTATCAGAAAATGAAAGAAAAAGTTTAAAATTATATATCACTGAATGGGCCTATTGTAAAACATATTTCCGTTACATTTTGAAATAATATAATAGAATAAAGAAATATACAAAAAAAAATTACATTTAGTTTTCAGAAACATGTTTAACTACACACAATGTTGTGGGAACTTTATAGGGTGTTTCAGAAAGACCTTCCGTAAATTCAGGGGGTGATAGTGCGACAAAAAATAAAAAATTTTAGTGATCGTTAGTGACTGTAGTTAGTAATGACTATTTACAGTCACTAAAATTTTGATATAAAGTTAATTAGAGTTTAAAATATTACTGAGAATGTATGCGTTGTTTATGAGACATCCATCAATAAGTTTTGACATAAACCTACTTTGAGAAAAGTCACTTATTTTCTTCACCGTAATATTGTAAGTGTTCAATTAAAAGCCTTTTTTCTCGAAAACCTTCCACATTAGGAAGTTCTAACAGGAGTACATTATTTTTAGAAAATAAAACTGTACATTAGAAATTGGAACCAGAAAGCTAAAAAACCTAACCTCAAAAAAATTAGAACTTAAATTGAAATACGGATGTAGCATAACTAGCGCCCTCTATAAAATATACAAAAAATAATTAGGCCAATGTATTTGGCGTCCTTAAAAACCTCGGAATACCAAATTTCATAAAAATATTTCGCACCGTTTGGAAATTTTCGTAAAAATTCTATTTAAAAAATTTTATTTTGTCGCTCTGTATCTCGAAAACAAGAGGAGATAGACATATCGTTCATAAGACAAAAATTTCTTATTTTTTGTCGTACTATCACCCCCTGAATTTACGGGAGGTCTTTCTGAAACACCCTGTATAATCGCAATTGCATATCTAATCTATGATATACCTACAATAAATTACAAACAACTAGTATTTCTACTGTACTTTCTTAATAAAAGAAAACAGTACAATTTCCAGAAATTTCCCCCTAAATTTTATAAATGATAAATAAAATCTGAAATCGACCCTTTTCTCTCCGGTGTAGACGTAAATAACCCAATTTTATTTTTTGCAGGCATGGAGCCAACTGCTGGAGACGGATTTCATCCCCCAAGTGTCTGCGACGTGCAAAGCCGGTCACATGAACATCAGGGTGAACTTTAATGGCTCCTTCGTGGGCACCATTCACGCGAGGGATTACAGGACGCCGTCTTGTATGAAGAACGGCGACGGATCCAAATCCGCGACGCTCGACATAAACCTGCTGGCGCAACCAGGGGCGCCGGATTACTGCGGACCGCTTGTCAATAACGTAAGTACTGTATGACTTACAGTGATTTTAAACAAGGTGTGCCAGCGACGTGACGACATCCTTCAAATCAAGTCGTGGCAAACTTTAATTCAAAACCGTCGACAAAATAAACAACAAAAAACAGAATTAAAATTTTTTACTAAGAACTCTACGATTCTTCAAATATTTAGTCCTGTAGCCAGGGGGTCCCAATTGCCTCCTTCATTTAGATGGAGTTACCCAAGTATTTTTTGTGTAAAAGTTTGCCCGGATATCGATAAGTTTTTTATTAACAAAAAACTTGCAAAATACTGAGAATTTAGTTTTTGCAAAATAAAAAGTATTTTATCTTGTTCTTTGACCCATTTTAAGAAGAAAATGTCTCTTGCAATTTTTTTGTGAAACGCGTAGTTTTCGAGATAAACGCCGTTAAAACTCGAAAAACGCAATTTTTGCGATTTTCAATTGTTAATAACTTTTGATTTAATAGGTTTGTAATTCTGATGTCGGCGTTTGACATTTCACGTTAATACTACAAATTATGAGTAATTGCAGTGTGAAAATTTGTTTTTTCCACTGTTATTTGAAGCTATAAACAAATAGCGATTAAGTGTTCAGAAGGGTGCGTCGCCATGTATCTAATGGGCCGGCCACACATACAGGCTTTACCGCGCGCTTGCCTGCACAAACCAGTTTGTATCGGGAAGCCCGTACGTGTGGCCGGCAAAACGTTATCTCGCACAAACTGAAAAGCGCGGCTTGCGTAAACTTCGACTTGCTGAAGATTTTGTTTGTGCAAATTCGGTTTGCACGGTAAAATTTGAGCGTGTGGACGGCGCACGGTGTTCAGTTAAGAGAAATTGCGGCAGAAAACCTTAAATCTCTATATGATCTCCATGTAGCCAAATATCTGAGAGTACCAACTCAATCTTTCATGAGGAGATATATACAGTGTGTTTCACTTAAAGTCGGGACACCTCCGTATTTAGGACGGCGTTGGCCGATTTCCAAAATTCTTTTTTTTATGTGGTAGTACTCACAAAGGCCTAATTTTGAATATTATATTTTTTGACATGTGATCTTTTCTACGGCCTAATATCATTAAGAAAATACCCTCAAAAATTAAAAAACATATTAGGCAATTTTTTAAGAAAAAATGGATAGCATTTTCGATTTGATCACACCTCAAAACCCTAAATACAAAGTTTCATTATTATAGCTTTTACAGGGTGTTCACAAAATAGGTGCAAACTTCGAAACATTTCACTTATTGCAAAGTGTCCTGTATTAACAGTGAAAAATATTTTCAAGGTATATCCATGCAGTTTCATTGATTTTACTCATACAGGATGCTCACAATAGGACAGCCAAATTATCTATATTTTTTATTATAAGTACCAGAAATGAGTTTCACAACGAAATAATATTTAAATATGTATTACTATTTTCTATTAGTCCATCATGCACTCTTCAATTCGTCTCCTCTTATTTTTAATAACTTTTCTCAACTGATGTAGTGTTATTTGTCGACATGCTTGTCTAATTATATTACATAAATCTTAATTAAAAATTTAACGTGTTTTGTAGGATTTTATGTGATCAAATAATTAGGCCCTTCTTTTTTTGCGTTAATCTAAACGCGAGATTTTTATGAATTTTTTAAACAATGATTTCTGGGATTCAGTACATGTATTTCCTCTTCATGTAAGACAGAACCTCTACCTTCAATTATATGGAGCACTTATTCATAATGCGGTAATAGTAGGTACGTCATTGGTTGAATGAGTATTTCCCGAGAAAGTGGATAGGTCGCAACAGTCCGTTAGCTGAGTGGCCGTCAAGAGCTGCAGACTTGACGCCACTTGATTTTTATGTAATAGACAAACATGTCGACAAATAACACCACATCAGTTGAGGAGAGTTATTAGAAATAAGATGAGACGAATTGAACAGTGCATACCAAATTATGTGGACTAACAGAAAACAGTAATATTTAAATATTATTTTGTTGTGAAACTCATTTCTGGTATAATAAAAAATATATATAATTTGCTTGTCCTATTGTGAGCACCCTGTATGAGTGAAATCAATGAAACTGCATGGATATACTTTCGGTTAATAAAATTATGAAAAATATCTTGAAAATATTTTCCACTCTTAATACAGGATACTCTGCAATACGTGGAATTTTTCGAAGTTTGCACCTATTTTGTGAACACCCTGTAAAAGCTATAATAATGAAATTTTGTATTTAGAGTTTTGAGGTGTGATCAAATCGAAAATGCTATCCATTTCTTTCTTAAAAAAATGCCTAATATGTTTTTTAATTTTTGAGGGTCTTTTCTTAATGATTGTAGGCCGTAGAAAAGATCACATGTCAAAAAATATAATATCAAAAAGTAGGCCTTTTTCCTAAATACGGAGGTGTCCCGACTTTAAGTGAAACACACTGTACATATGTACATAGATTCGCGCATTACAGTATTTTGTCGGTTTATGAAGGGATCACCAATCCTAGTAATTCAGTATACGCCATTTCATCCATTCTCATATAATTACGCCAATCGTCGGGATCTTCTCTCAAATCCTTCATTAAATTTATATGTGAATGTATATTTCTGTTCAGAATCCATTTTTTGACCATTTTGAACGATGACGTCTATTTATTTATTTTTTTATTAATGTAAAAAATTCTTCGCTTGGATACATATTCCTGAGAGACGTACTGATTGCTGCCTGCAGTGTCTGCAGCCTGCACGGTCTTACCTGCATCGTGTGGCCACAACACAGTATTCCGTGTTTATTGCGCAAACCATACCGTGCAGGCAAGTCGCTGTCGTGTAGCCGCCGCATAAGAGAGCGGTTACCTTCTTACAGGCGCTTAATACACGATCTTGACGCGTACTCTTCATTTCTAGACCAAAGAAACGATGAAAACTGAACGAAACATTAACAATTTAATGAATATTGCAGTATTACAATAATTAAAATTAAAATTTTTTTGACAAATAATGCAAAGATCTGATTTAATTAAGCTATTCATCTTGTAACATGAACGTTAATAATTCTACATCTTCAGTGCAATTTTGAAGCTCGACTGGCAACAAGTAAAGGCCGATTGCCAAAAACTAAGTTCTCAGTATTTTGCAAGTTTTTTGTTAATAAAAAAACTTATCAAGATCCGGGCAAACTTCTACCCAAAAAATTCGTGTTCTGCAGCTCAAAATACCCAAAAAATACTTGGGGTAACTCCTTCTAAATGAAGGAGGCAATTGGGACCCCCCTGGCTACAGGGCTAATTGGAAGCGAAACACAGTTTCTGTTTGGTGTCGATTGTAACAAAAATTATACTAACCATCAAGGTGTTTCAACAGTGGCGGCTGGTTGGTGGGTCTCTGCATATTTACTATACAGTTCGGGCTATAAATAATATCTATTCACTGGTTTTTTTCTTATTAATCGTAATTTGTTTAAATGTGGTGTAAAATTTTGTTACCTACGCATTGTTTCTTGTGTGTTAAAATTTGTAAAAGTTTAAAATTAGATTTAAAAGACAGACCAACAGCACTTACAATGACATCTATTGAAAAATCAGTGGTGCAAGAAATATCAAACTTTAATAAAATGTAATTGAAAAGTTTATTTCAGACAAAAGCAGAAGAATGGACTTTCACTATAAAAAATTATGTTGAGCACATTTTCCCTATATTTGAATATTACTTAAAATAAAAGCTATTATGCAGGGTCTCATTCATGTTTCAAAAAAACGTGTGTGCAAGTTCCTCATGGAAAAATAATAGGGTTAGTTCATGTAAAGTCTTTTTCTTATACGCCCTGGTTTCGAGATACAGTATGTTAAAGTGTTACTTTCCAAATGGTTTTCCTTAATTATCTTTAAATCGGCTAAAGATAAAAATGCCAAAATTTGTACACGAGTAAACATCAACTGTGCGTTAAGAATAATGTGCAAACGGTTTCTTTCTGAAAAGCAGTGTCGCCGATACAGGTAATTAGAGGGGTTCAATCGAAAAAAAAATATTAAAAATAAAAATTTATTACATTTTTAGATGGTTTTGTAAACTCTAAAGCTAAAGCATACTACAAAAAAAAGGTATACTTGTCGAAATTCGGTAGCATGTACCATTTTCGAGAAAAATGAAGCTGTATAGAAGGAAATGAGAGACAATTTCAGTATCTACTGTAGTATTTCGCGTTTTGCTCATTGTGCAGCTGTTCTGTTTTGTATGTCTCCGAGTCTGTTTCCTAATATTTTTCATGTCCATCAACAATTCAGTCCATTCAATAGTTGTTTATTTTAGTAATGGTAGTGTAGTAGTTTACAAACTCTAAAATTAGTTAATAATAGATAATTAATTACCATAATCTGTTTATTTTGATTTACTTTTTCAAATATTAGTTTACGACAAACTGAAACTTAAAGTAAATTTTAATTTTTTTTAGTTAATAAAATGTTTTACAATTTAATTGTTTTATGTGATACGTAAGAAATTAAAATTATAGTCTTAAATGCAAATACTGTTGGTAGCTAAGTGTCTTCAGCTCATTTCCTCTTTCAATTTAATATTTTGTTAATGTACTTGTGCCGCTTTATGTGAGCAATAAAAATACAACTTAATTTTTCTCGAAAATGGTATATGCTACCGAATTTCGACAAGTATACCTTTTTTGTAGTATCCTTTAGAGTTTACAGAACCGTTTAGAAATGTAATAAATTCTGACTTTTAACATATTTTTTCTTATATTGTACTCCTTCAATTACCTGTATCGGCGACACTGCTTTTCAGAAAGAAACCATTTGCACATTACTCTTACCGTCCAATTGATGTTTACTCGTGTACAAATTTTAACATTTTTATCGTTAGCCGATTTAAAGATAATTAAGGAAAACCATTTGGAAAGTAACTACTTCAACACACTGTATCTCGAAAACCCCAATTATTTTTCCATGAGGAACTTGCACACAAGTTTTTTTGAAACATGAACGGGACATCCTGTATTTG